GAGCGGGAGGGAGGGAAAAAGGGGAAGGCATGACTAATTTGTCCATTGCCAGCCTGCGGGCTGAGAGAGCCAGGCTGACAGAGGTGAGCCTTGACTTACAGGGCCTGACTCTCCAACACTTGGCACCTCATGTGGTAGTTTTACATGCACTGTGCAAATGGATATAAAACATTTTCATTCTTATTTAGTAGTACGTTAAACCTTCTTTGCACAGGTGCAAATGACTACCTACGGATCCAGGCAGTGAGGAATCAGGTCCACAGAGTAGTATCAAGGGGTTGTCCCTAAGCAGCAAAGGTCTTTAGGGCTGCAAAGCTGGAATTTTTCTGCAGATTCCCAGATTTTCCTTTCTCTTTATTGGAGCTCGCTGGGTGAGATTCCTTCTGAGAGACAGTTTGGAGGAAACTCAACAAGATGAGCCTCAGTATGTAGGGCTCTCTTGCCTCTTTCTCACTGGCTTTGGAGGGAGAGTGTGATGTGAACCTTTTGGAAAATGTAAACAGTCTGTATCAGTACCACAAATGTGTTTAAATCTCCGTTTTAAATTCAAAGGACCTTTTTATAAGACTCGAGCCAACCAGTGCTTTCCATTTGTGGGTTGCTCGAATTGCGTGCTTGTATCAGAAAAGTATGGTACATCCTGGGTGCTATGAGTCAGTCTAAATGGCAAGGCTCCCCACTTCCAGCACACTTACAAGTAGACTGCATCTTAAAAGCACAGCAGTGCTTCGGGAGGGAGTGGCTGGAGAGGGGCATTGCTGCAAGGAGAGCTTGAATTCTTTCTGTGGCTTGTGGAGAGAACTTGCTGCTGTCCTGTGAAAGGCTGCAGTGTGAACAACCTTGTGTGCCTGGAAAACCCTGCTGGGTGGTGCAGAAGGAGAGAATCACCCCTTAGTTTGGACCAACTCAACATGGCTGAGAGGAGTTACAGCTCCATGCTAGAGCACCACTAATGGTAGTCTCCAGAAAAGGAGTAGGGGATAGACATCTGATCCTACCTCTTCCTGCTCCTTTTGAGGAGGCTAACATCATTGATGATGCTCGTATAGAGTCATGCCACTCCCCGCCATGTTGGGGTCGCCCAAACTAAGCCATGAAGGCTCCATATGCCTGACCCCATACATCTGCACAAGGGAAAGAAGCAGGATAACCATATATCTGGCTTTAAAAGCAGGTTCATATTTTGTCCAAATAATGTATAAATAAATTGCACTACATATAGGGTGATCAGATGTCCCGATTTATAGGAACAGTCCTGATATTTGGGGCTTTTTCATATATAGGTGCCTATTACCCCCCAACCCCTGTCCCGATTTTTCATGCTTGCTGTCTGGTCACCCTAAGTACATAGATTCTGGGTGCTGTTCTTTGGGACTTGGCAATGTCTTCTGCATCCAAAATTCAAAATGCAAACTGGGAGTCACAGAAGGTGCACCCTAGGAAAAATACGTTCATTGCTTCTCAATATTTCAAAAGCATAACAACAAACTTAATATTAAATTGCACAAATGCAGCCCAACCTGTAGGAAAGATTACTATCATTTTGGCTCTAAAAATGGCCTCTCTGGCAATCAACACCTGAGGCTAACAGGCTTTTGTCAAGAGAGAGAACCTGTGATCTGCCCCATAAAAATTACACTTCGTGTTCTAAAATGTCAACCTAAATGAAAAAATAACCAACACCCTTTTGAAAGAAGGGCTGGCTACGTAAAACAGTATTCAAATATGTGTTTATCAACTGTGATAAAATCCGAGCTCCAAAGCTGGGTGACTCAATAGCAACAAACCCCAAATGCTGGGTAAGTGGCAGAAGTATGCATACATTTTGTGCAACTTCTGTGCTCTTCCTGTCAGCTCCATTCTTATGAGCGAGCAGGGAATTGAAAGTGACAAGTTTTCTTCTCTCTGAACCACTGGGACCTTAACAGTGTCTCTTTAATAAAACATCTAACAAATGATGATTAAGGCTCTGCCTCATATAATAATAAATATCTATCTCTTATATAACATTTTCACTAGTAGGTTTCAAAGTAGTTCGTGTGTGTAAATTTAACACCACAACATACATGTGCATATATCAAGTGCGTGTATAAATAAAATATTGTGTGTGAATGCTTACAACATAGTGTGAATGTATATTTGTAAAAGTGAGCGAGAGACGGGCATGCTGTAGTCTTTTTCTGCTGCTATCTGTCACCTTCCACATTACTTCTCAGGTTTTATTTTCACCGGATCATGTGCTGGAGTTCTTTTCGTACAGTACTATATTCTCTTCTTATGCTGGGCTCCCATTTGAGGAACTAGTTGTTGTACTCAAAGCAGAGTGCCAGTCTTCATGTTGTGGCTAACTGAGCACAGGCTTTTATGTTATTAACATTACACAGCCTCAGCATGGAATAAGGAGGCAGTAAGTCAAGTGGTTCTACAGTTGTTCACAATTCATTTGCACTTGCAACGCTTACTGTCTGTAGCAAAAAGAAGAGGAGGACTTGTGGCACCTGAGAGACTAACCAATTTATTTGAGCATGAGCTTCCGTGAGCTACAGCTCACTTCCTATTTGTAGAGAAGCAAAGTGTGCGTTGTAAATGGCTTGTCTAGTTTTAGTAAAATCCAGCCACGAGGAAGTTTGTGTGGAAGGTTGGTTCTTTATGAGAGTATCCATTTTTGAGAGCTCATTCTTAATCTTTCCCTGTTTGCTGTAGAGGATCTTGATCAGGTGATTCCGCAGTTTCTTTGAGAGCGTGAGGCACAAGCTGTCAGCATAGTCTGTGTGGTATGTAGATTGTAATGGATTTTTTACCTTCAGTCCTTTTGGTACGATGTCCATCTGTTTGCATTTGGAAAGGAAGATGATGTCTGTCTGTATCTGTACAAGTTTTTTCATGCAGTTGATAGATTTCCACTCCATACGGCTAAATGCAGTGCCTTGCATAATGACAGGTTTCAGAGGAACAGCCGTGTTAGTCTGTATTCGCAAAAAGAAAAGGAGGACTTGTGGCACCTTAGAGACTAACCAATTTATTTGAGCATGAGCTGTAGCTCACGAAAGCTCATGCTCAAATAAATTGGTTAGTCTCTAAGGTGCCACAAGTCCTCCTTTTCTTTTTGCGAATACAGACTAACACGGCTGTTCCTCTGAAACCTGTCTGTAGCAAGCAACCCTATTGTAGAGAGCAATAACTATCACTGAACACTTTGAATAAAAATACAATGGATATAACAATATAGATTTTAAAATGTAATGAAAATGGGCTGTAATCTGTAAAGAAGCAGCAAGCTGCAAACTCAATAAAATCTCACCTATTGATTGACTGATTGTACAAATTGGACAAGTTACTAACTAATTGGATGCCTTACTCGAGCAATATGTTTAACATGGTTTTAAAGTGAGCCAGAGAGTCACTAACTTATGTCAAAAGATAACTGTACCATGACCACTGAGCTCTGTAATTAAATGGCAAACAGGTTAATTGCAGGGACCGTCAGGAGAACAGAGTTAGCAGATCAAAAGGAATCAGCTGCATGATGTTGTATTAATTCAGCTAGCACAGTACATCAAGGAAAAGGAAGAGAGTCATTACCAAACGAGTTTCATAAACGTGCAATAATTTCAAGACCCGTTTTGGCAAAGGACCTATTTTGAGGTTAGGTTTATGCTCTTTAAAATTGGCAGCCGATTACACTGTCTAGAACCAGGCAAGAGGCAGGCAGACATTGGTGCAAATCTCCAGACAGATCTGTCAATGCCCCAATCCAAACTATTTCCACCTGTGTTTATTTTCGTTATATTGCAGTTATGGCAGTTTTGAGGAAGCAAACTGCTTTCTATCATGGAAGGTTCATGTGTAAGCTCAACCCACCAACCACATCAGTTTGCCTCCGCAAATCATTTTTTTTCCCCTACAGCTCACTGGATTCGATCAGCATTTGGTGGAAAGGGGAGTAGACTTTACTGAATGATTGTTCGTCAAAGGATTTATAATCTTTATTGCTTGCTGTGGGGTTCCTCTTATAGGCCTTGAGTCAGGCAAACACATGCTTAAGTGCTTTGCTGAATGAGGATCACAGTGTGCAATACGACAGGTTTCAGAGTAGCAGCCGTGTTAGTCTGTATTTGCAAAAAGAACAGGAGGACTTGTGGCACCTTAGAGACTAACAAATTTGTTTGAGCATAAGCTTTCGTGAGTTGCATCCGATGAAGTGGGCTGTAGCTCACAAAAGCTTATGCTCAAACAAATTTGTTAGTCTCTAAGATGCCACAAATCCTCCTTTTCTTTCAGTGTGCAATACATATAGCAGTATGTACATTGTACACACACACAAAAACCCCAACAACTATCAAAACAATACTGCACACACAATTCTCTCCCTGAGGAGAGGATGAGAGAGAGAACAAACCACATGTGACAGATGTCAGTCTAGTTGCCTGTTGGAAAGTGCTCAGATATAATTGTGATGAAAGTGGTCTAAGAACCTATATAGAACAATAATACAGTGAAAATGTAACACAAATTGTACAGTGTATGCAAGGCAAGATGGGTAATGTTCCGCCATGGAGATGAAAATAGAGTGTAAGAAGTTGCACAGAAGTTGAAGGTGTGATTCAAATAATGTCCAACTTGTCAGTCACTGGAGAGTTTGGATTGCTTATAATATCATTTCTTGATATTTTGAGTAAGCTACTTTGTCCAACTTTTCAAGTAATACAACAGTAGTATGTTTTCAGATGTATGTAACTACAAGATATTTTTTGTAATCAGATTTTAGAAGGTCGTAAGCATGATGACACTATTAGTAATGGCTTTAATCAGATGTCTGAAATCTAGATTGAAAAATGGAAAGGTATTTGATGTCGGCATTGCATTCTTTAGTATATATACAGCCTTGAATGTTTGGTCTTTTGCTTTATTGCCTTAAAAAGGCTAAATATGTAGTATATACATTTCTGTTTCTACTGAACTCGTCCTGTCCTCACTTCTGTTGTTTTCCCCCCCCCCAGGATTATTTCCAGCAGTGCTGAACCTGGCTGTCAATGCTATCATCACAACCAATGCTACCTGTGGAGAAAAAGGCTCTGAAATGTATTGCAAACTAGTTGAACATGTACCTGGGCAACCGGCAAGAAACCCCCCCCAGTGTCGTATTTGTGACCAGAACAGTAGGGTTCCACATCGTATGTATGAGATTTTGTTATGTTAATAGACATGCTCTTCTATGGGAGTTTGGTCTAGGTTCATTCATGTTCAGGGACTTTGTGACCAAACGACTGGCAGTGGGTGGGGAGCGGAGGAGGAAGAATAAACTCTAGCTCATTGGCTTGATTACTTTGGAAAATTCCTCTTGTTCTGAGTAAAACAAATATTTTGTCCCTGGGCTAGTTTTGCAAAATTCTTACCTATAAATTAAATTAAACTTTTTGGGACAAAGAGTGCTTAAAGTTCAGCAACTAAATCCATTATTATAGGCTCTGCAGCTCTCACTGAGTTAATATGGATTTGTGTTTGCTCGACATACATGAAAATCAGGCCATTTTATAAGGTACCTAAATATGGGATTAATTTTAATCAGAAAATTCTGATCTTTTTGAATCATTTACAAAATTTTAATTTGTGGGTAAGGCCAATTTTATTTATCTTAAGCCTGTTCTGTGATTCCCCCCGCCCCACCCCCTTCTCAGCTTGATGTTAATTCTAATTTCACTGACTAAAAAACCCCCAAACCACTGTGTTTTTAATTACTTCATTTTTTTAACACTACAACTGATCTTTGCTAAAATTATTATTATTTTTTTTAAATACCAGCCTCAGGGTAAAATCAGTTTTCAAGCATTCATTTATTATCAGGTACAAGGAGAGTTTTGTGCCTCTTACAAGGTAAGTACATACAAGGAAGACTAGAACCTAGATAGAGCTGTATGGTAGTATTCACATATTTTCACCTGCCCTTTCAGTGATGGAGGTGAACAGCGTATTAGCAGCTATTCTCCATGGTAATTCCTGAAGAATTTCCTGTATGTTTAAAATCACACCCTCCATTTTGGGAAGAGCCAAATATTTTAATAATAATAAAAATACATAATCTATGATAATTCATACAGCAAACCAAACATACATGTGAGGAATAGATTTTGGCTTGCCACATCCCTGTGCCCTGCTCCAACCACTAGAGAGTACTGCCTCATTTATATATAAAAACACACAAGTGCTGTAGGTCTATGTGTCTTTCCCTCTTATTAACCTGCAACTGTCTGGTTTTAGAATGCCTGATCTTTTGTAGCCAACCACATCTCAGTTTAAGGTTTTCATAATGTTAATCTGGCACTGTGAAGAGCCTTATTTAAACAGAGATGACTCATTAATCAGAGTACCATGTAATGTAACCAGACTTCAAGTGATCCCCTTGGAATCTGTGAGTCTGGTGTGCCTCCCCTTAATTACTGTAGAAGAAAATGAACACAGACGCCCTGGTTAATGGCATGTGAGCCCAAATTAAAGGGAAGAGTGGGATGGGCTTACTCTAGGTGCAATCCCCCTTGTCATCCATCAGTCAAGTTAGTCCTTGGAGTAGTTTTTCAGTCCCATCCCTTTTGCAAGTGTTATATTATTTTTCTCTCTCACTTTAAATAGGGAAAACATGCCAGCAATTAATCAATGTTTTCAAATTAATTATGATTAAACTTTCATAATGGGGATTACAGTTAATTGTTGATTCATCTCCCAACCCTACTTTTCAGGACTAAATCTCATATCAGTTTGGCTGGAGGAGACTGATATCAAAATTTCCAATTAGACAACTTCTATCACAATCACCTAGGAGCCCTGAGTTGAATTTACAGATGATTTTTGCAAGCACACATTTTAAGATGGGGCTGTAATGATGATCAGAATTGTTAGCTTTGACAGTGCCTAGAGCATCGGCTTTTCTGTGCGTGTGTGCTCCTGTGGAGGCCTTTTTTCCAGTCCTCTAAGTTTTGAGTGGCGGAACTTGCCTCCACTTCTGTTTGGGACGCAGCTTTGTGGTACAACCACTCCCCAGTTGGGTCTCTGGATTGCACCCCCTAGGTAGCCTGCCGTAATACCTAGCAAGCCCAATGGACTTGTCATGTGCAAGTGCGCTCGTGGATAGCGGTAATATGCCGTGACATTTTTAGGGTGTGTTTTTATTGATTTTTTTTTGTAGATGTCCAAAAATTGAGGTTTATATTGTACATATATAACAGTATATACTGTAATGAATAATCTCTTTGTAATGTTCCCTGGTGCACTTTAATGTAGCACTGTTTCAAACAGCACAACATTAAAGTGCACAAGGGAATCTTTAGTGCACACCAGCAGGGTCTTCATCGACAAATTAATGCACAACGGATTAGTGCACTTTAGAAATCACACTCTACAGAGCACATTACCCCACCTTCTAGACAAGCCTTTAGATACAAGTAACTGTTTCTGTAGTTTTTACGGTGTTTATTGAATAAACCCTGATTTTAAAAAATAATTTATGTTGGAGGTATTGATTGGTTAAAACCTAAAACCAAAAGTCCTTGTTCTTGTTCCCCTTGAGGCTCTAGGTAGACATGACTTAGCCTTGATGTCCCCCATTCTATTAGGGACCAAAATGTAGCCTACTTGCGGCAACAAGCGCTCGCTCTCTCTCTCTCTCTCTCTCTCTCTGTCAGCTTTTGATCCCTCCCTTCTTGACCTGAGCCAAACAGCTCTGTTGCCAGAGGGGGATCTGAGCAGTCCCTCTTCATGGCTATAAACCTGTTTGAGGGGAGGCTTCTTACCTGGGCTGCTGTTTTACTCTTCCTGTCTGATTTCTTTAACAACTCCCTCTGATCTAACGGTATATTCAGTCAAATATTTTTCAATTACCCATACCAATTACACTTCCATTGTACCACTAGTGTTATGATAAGCAAATGCTAGTGCTCACTGGTGCCACTGAATCATTTGATATTTAAATGCGCTTCTGGCATTTGCAGTTTTAAGGACTGACACCTCCCCTCACTCCCACAGAACACTTTAGTTCTTTCTTTAAATATGTTCAGACATTCTGGCTTTAATTAATGAGGCAGGATTCCTGTCCTCCACAGACAGCTGACGTGGTACGAAACCACAAAAAAACAGACTTTCAATCTTCTGAGTTGACTTAAACAACAAATAAAAGGCCGGTAAACTCTCCAGTTTGATTTAGTCCCCTAGAAATCTAAGAACCATAACTCCTTTTTCTTCCCATTTTATATATCTAGCAATGTATTTTTAGGAAGTCATTCTAGGTGAAAGGGTAACATTTATCAGGTGCTTGATACCACAAGAATAATACATTCTCTGACTGTGTATAATGTCTTCCATATCTAGCAGCTGGGGGAAGGAGACATATTATTTTTTAAATAACTTCTGATTTTTCCCCCTCCTTTGGATGTAGTCTTTCTCTCAGATAAATCAGTGATTTCTGTAGGTGCAGGATCAGATCCTTTAGAATTGTGGGTAGGCTACCATCCTGCATGCACAAAAGGAGCAGATACTCCTGAAACACAGATAGACAAAAAATACTCTTTGCAATTACTGGGTGATATTTACCTGAATGCAGAGAATGCAAGCAAGACCCCTCACCTTCTAAATACCATAACATAAATAGTTCAAAGGGTCTTGAGGAGAACCTTGAGGGGAGGGAGAGAGAGAGAAAGAGAGAGATGGAACCTCTATCATTTTAAGCAGTGGATTATAAATCACTCAAATACTACAGTGATGGTTCTTGGATTAGCTCTGTGTAGAATATAATAGAATTTCTTTCTGCATGAAAACTGTATGATTGCATATGACTTCCAAACACAAATACTAGCAAAACGAACCGCAGTACCTTCTCCTTCACCTGCCTGCCAAGTCCTAAATTCCTGGTTTGTGTTCATTACACTAGCTGATGATTTCACACTACCTGCCTGGAGATGCTGGTTTAGGTGGCTGTGGTCTCCTTGGAAGTTGCAAGGCAAACATATAATATTAATATTAAACTTTCTTCAAAAGTAAAAGAAAAACAGATTATCAGTTATTTTGTTTTAATGTACTACTTTGTCTTTTTAAGTCTATACTTGTATTCTGTTACTGATTTGGGGTTTTAAAAAGTCTTTTTGATACTTATTGCATAATAAAGCTTTGCGATTCACCTTTAGATCATGTTGCATACTGTGCCATAACACCAACAAACACATGGAAGTACTTTTATGTACAATATTATATTCACATGCTGTATTAACTAAATGCTACCACCAAACGACTGCTGACCATTCTAAAGATGTTTTTCTTTTACATATTGCCAATGGTCCAATAGAACGACACCCAATAACTAATGCAATTGATGGGAAGAACACTTGGTGGCAGAGTCCCAGTATCCAAAATGGAATAGAATATCATCATGTTACCATTACATTGGACCTTCGACAGGTACTGTTTGTTCTTTGTTTCTGCAAACCTTTCTCACTCACATAATTGCTGTCTCATTCGTCACTCCTTATTTTGTCAGTGATGCTTTTGGATCATAAAGATACTCCCAGCTTCATTATAACATACTGAGTTATTTATATGGACTATGCACAATGTATCTTATTCATTGTAGCATAATACATATATGGTTAGGTTTTTTTTTAAAATCAGATTTCAGGTTATTTGTTTTTAAGACATATTTTGAATTAGTCTGAATATGAAGTATTCAGTGTTTGTTTCAACTGTAGGTTTGGATCTTTAGAAATAAGTCTAATTAAAAATGGTGTATGTTGGGGGAGGAAATTTATCAAAGGTTTAATGGTTTAAAATGCTGCATTTTTTAACTACTAAAATAAAGCACTAAGAATGTCTTCAGCTCTGCTAAGTATAGGTGCTCTTAAAGATTTTTTTTGGGGGGCGGGGCGCTAACAAGGCCCTTAAATATATTGCTTCTCGTTACTGAAAGCTCTGCAAGCTGTCAGCTGGTTTTAAATTAAACCTGGGCTACTTGGAGAGTTAACAAGGCCTGTTGTATTTGCATAGACTCAGTAGGAGTAGCCTCAGGTTTCATGTTGCATCTTCTGCCAATCATTTCTGTCTCTTTCTATGGTATTCTTGACAGCTGTAGTTTTCTGGAATACAGTTGTTTGATGCTCACAAATTTGCTGGATTATGCCAGACATGCAAGCACAAGGATTTTGGGTGCTGGAGGAGAGGTAGTTTTATTTGTATTCTGCTAATGCAAATACAGAATAACGATCCGTCGCCAGAAATACACATCATGCTATTAGATTTATCATCCTGCTATTGAATATCATAGAAATTAAAGATGGACTAGATAATCCAGTAGGCTTTGACCTTTTCCCCAAGACAATGAAATATTGTCACCAGGTCCCCTCAAAGTCCTCTCTTTTCTGTGATCTATAGGCTTGTCCCATATACCAAGATGACTTATGGGATGGGCTAAAGTGAAGAAAATGCAGTTCTGTTTTCCTTTGTAAAAGCAAAGGGGAATGTCCCCATCTCTCCCTGGCTTGGGTAAGTAGCACAGCCCTCACAACTCTCCTTTCTCTATAGTTAAGTGTGCAGAGATTCTCCTACAACCTCCTGATTCAATCTCCTTTAATCCCTGAATGGGATTTCTTGGTTTATGACTTTCACCCAGAATCTGAGTGGTACATCTGCTCAATTATTACTTCTCAGAAGGACCATTAACCTCTCCCCAGGATTACAGGACTGTAGCTGATTATCCCAGAAAGAGTCAATGGTCCAAAAGAGTCTTGAATAAAACACAGTTTATTAGAAAATTTAAATGAAATCAAATGTAAGAGTACAAGAAAAACATCTCTAGGTCTAGGAATCCCTAGCCTTGTCTAGTTTGGGCCTCACCCTTGAAGTTAATCAAAATCCATCAAAAATACAAAGCTTAGTTTTCGAAAATTCTTTCTTTCATTTCCTCAGAAGAGACAAACCGCCATCTAGATACATGGCGGAAAAAATGCGTGTGGTTGTTTTACATTAACTTTCCCTCTAGCGGTGCTCCAATGGTCAGAGAATTTGAGAAAATGGATTTGCAGACATGGTAGCTTGCCCCTGTTATACCTTGGAGATGCTCCGAAGTTTAGATGTGAGCCCCTTCCATTGTTAGCATTCTAACCCTGGAACCATCTTTGTCATTACCATGTTGAAAATGAGGTTGCTCTGGACACCCACCTATGTCATCGTCTCATATCCCTGGTCCAGTGTCTAATGAATATTTTTATTTTATCCAATAAGATTTTTTTTTTTTTGCTGGAAAACAGGTTTGATTTTAGTCTTCTGCCCTTTAAAAATGTTCCTTTGACCTTACAGGTACTATTACCTGTCTTCCCCCTACACACTGATTTTCTCTCTTGCTGGCTCAGATCCATTAACATGCAAATAGCTCTCATGTATCAGAAATAAATTAGCATCCTACCCTTCATCATTCATCCCCGCCCCAAGACATTGCGTCGCTGATTGTCAGATAGTAGGATGGTTTCATTCAACTACAATTTTAAGAATAAGGCTCCTCTATATCCCAATAATTCCTTTATGTCAATCCCAGAGTCATAAACTATTCCATCCCCTTTAGTGCTGGTATCCAGACTGTTACAGGGAAAAACCAAGAAGAGCTTTCTTTAATTATGTTTTGCTTACATAAAAAGAGCTGTGGTGACTATCGAGTTACAGTGTCTATACTGACATGTACATGAGGTGGTGGTTTGACTGTATTTCAGGAATTTCTGCAGATATCAATAGCATATTACGATTAGCACACTGTGACTGCTATATTAGTTTGCTTAAATAAAACTTAAAGTGTGTGATAGTGTGAAAGGGGGAGATTGTACTGTTACCCCTAGCCCATGGTCGCTGCACAGTTCACGGTTCCAGGAATAGTCCAGAGAAAGAGCTTTAAGCCTAGATCAGTATCAGATGACTTCTCCTTCTGCACCAGCTCAGCTGTGCAGAGTCGGTGCTTTGGAGGAGCAGAGTCAAGGATTTGCCTTTCATTCCCTATCCATCTTCACAGAAGTGGGGGAAGTTTTGAAGCATGTGTTCTCCCCATGCTCTGGCTGGCAATGTGGGTAGCCCATGCAGTTAAGGAGGCACCTTATACCACTTACCATCTTACATAGGCCAAGAGATAATTTTGCCTCCCAACAGTAGTGATATATATCAATAGTCTTGGCTTTAAAATGTCGAATATATAGCTCTATACTATAAGGTTTTCTTTGCACACAGAGAGCTGTAGGCTTTAATAGAGTATTCAGTAAAACGTGAGATGTCTATTCCAGCTGGGATCACAGATTGCAATCACCAGGAATGGATGAAGGTCACAAGATGTCTCTGAGGCATCATTTTTTAAAAAAAAAAAAAAGATTTTGCTCCGTATCTTTGTTGGCAAACATGAGATTCAATAATTACCAGTGATTTTACTGATGTGTTCTTACTGTAAGTAAAAAAAATGTGTAACTTTTTTGAAACAGATTTGTCACGTTATTTCTGCAAAGAATGGACTGTAAATTGCAGGAATGCATTAGCAGTATGTGCTATTACTAATAATTATGACTATACATGGAGTGCTTTTAGCAAATTCTAATTTTATGAAAAGAAATTAGGAAAATAATTACTGTTTCCTTCATTAAATAATTCCGTACCTTTTGGGGGCAGTTGTATTATTTTTCTATTACGACTGTACTGCATAATAAAGTAATGGTGCATCATGGTTAGTAATAAATAATAAGTTATTTGCAGAAGTGACACATCTAACTTAGAATAAGCAGAAAGATTATCATTCATTTAAAAAAGTCAATTAAATTCTTTTTGCATGAATTAGAGAAAAGGGGTAAAATATTTTTAAAAGGGCTTAAGACCTAATGGGAATTAAGCTCTTAATTCACTTAGGTGCTGTTGAAAACTTTACTCATAATGCCTTGTGGTTAGAGTGTGTTCTAGGAATCAGGACTTCTGGATTCTGAACATGACTTTGATACTAATTTTTGGGGATAGCTTGGGATGGTCACATAACTTCTCTCTGCGAGGGTTTATCATTGGTACAATGGTGATTACATCATCATTTACCTCCTCACAACAGTGTTTTGAGGTATGTTTTATGTTTATAAAGCACTTTGCGATTCGTGGATGAAAGGCACTGTACAAATACTACATAAGATTTATTATTCTGTTACAATTAATAGCTGATCAAAAATATTCATTCAATGGAATTTAGTAAACATAACTGCGCTTTGTGCAGACTGTTCATATGGCAAGTTTACTTGGGGATAAAAACACACTTAAATTGGGCTGGCCTGGTAGTGTAGCTGGAGAAGTTATGAATTTGATTTTAACTGGATCCTTTAATCCATGTAGTGGAAGCACCATATCTATGAAATGTGCATCCCATAGGAACAGGGAATGTTTTGCCTTCTGCATCTGATTGTGTTGGACACTGGGTTTTAGCTTTGGGAGCAAGGGGTAGTTTTGCATACATCCTCATCATGCAGCAGAGGATATTCTAATGCAATGAGGTCAGTTCCAGCACAATGGGAAATATTCCTTTTTAAAAGGATTACACCCTTTCAGGAAAGGCAGGGAAAGGAAGCGGGGAAAAATTGGAAACGTGGACTTTCATGGAGACCTGGAGTTGCAAGTTCTACTCCTTGTGATATTGAGTCCCCTAAGTTCTCTAATAGTCTGAAGCTGAAGAAGCTGCTGTGAAAGACTAGCTGGGTTTCTATAGGGAAAACTGGCAAATCCTCAGGGAAGCTGATAGGTGGTTGGAGGTGAGATGGTCATGCCTTCCAGTTCTGGTCCTGGAAAGGAAAAAACAACAACTTAATTTGAAATGATTAGAATCTCAAAATATTTCTTTTAGATTTCGTCTAAAAATGAGGTAGTGTCCCTAGTTAAGCTCACCATCACCTTCACTTTCCTACTTCAAAAGACTTCTGATAAATCTTCTGTTCCATTGTTCATGTTCTGAGTTGTATTTTAGCTGCTAGTGCCTTGAGAATGCAAGCTTTCAGAGGCAGGGACTCTGCTATTCAAATGGCACGTTTAGTGCTTTGAACAGTGCCAGGTACACCATGTGGAACTATATAACAAATAGAATGGCTGGGAGCGAGAGGGAGACATATTACTTCATCTGAAGCAGTTCTCCCATCCCCAGTTATGAAATGCGTACAGCACTTTCATGGATGTATACTCTGAACTCCTTATTTCATGATTTTGTGTTGCCCAAATATCACTTTGAGGATTTTGATCTGGTTCAGTATAATCTTTTATGAAGTGAACCAGTTGATTATCTTTTAGAACAGAACAAGTTGATTGCCCATGAGTGAAACCACAGAAAAATGAACTTCTGCGTTATTACTCAGCTCTTCCATAAACTTAATAGGAATAGTGTCACAAAGAAGAAAACTGGAAAAGGGAGAGTTATG